CGCCCAAGGCTGGAAGGCGGCCTGGCTCTAGGTGGAGACCTTATGCTTCATGGTCAAACTGGGTTGGTGGCAGCCTCTGTGCGGTGCACATCCACCGAGGACAGGAGAGCCTTTCTATGGTGGCAGGGCCCGGTGGCCCCTCAGGAAGGGCCCAGAGAACAGCACCCCGGCGGCTCTAAGAAAGAGGTTCCAGCCACCTACCGGTCCTGAGAGCACTACACACATCATGGCACGAGTTTACCTGTTTACCTGGGACAGGGAGGCTGCCTGTCCCCCTCCACACACACACACACACACACACACACACGCACACATGTGGGGTGCAGTCAGGCTGCACACGATGCCCTAAGTACCCTGTGTCAAGGAACTCTGCTCAGACCCACTTTAGAGTCATCAGCAGTTTCTCTCACACACGGGGGGATCTGCTTGAAATGTACACTTTACCTTTTAGCAATTGTAAAAAAGGAAACAGACTGATTTTCATGTTCCTCTTCATGAATTCTAATTTCCATTTTTCATTGTCCCAGCCAGTGGTCATGGCTTAAACTGGGTTGATAAGAGCACGCCCTTGGAGACTCCCATCTGGGCAGCGCCAGACCGACTTCTCTCAAACTGGGTACCTGGCCCCATTGACCTACTGGAGTGGAAACTGGGATCTAGAAAATGCCATCTTGGCCTCCTCTGGACCTCACTTTCCTGAAGAGTGAGGATGTGTTTTAGTCTCTTCCATGTGGTACACAGTAGGTACTCCATATTTTGAGGACTCTATTTCCAGTGGTTTGTGGTTCGACTCCTTGCTGCGGTTTAAACTAATGTGCACGGCCAGGTCAGCAGAGGCAGGGAGCAGAATTTAGTATTCTAACTTGAGGGTCTGCATCTGCATGTAGTAGTTTTGAAATATTTACACCTGACTGAAGTGAGGCCACGGTCACCAGATTGCCCTCTTCCAGCATGTGAGAGCCTTCCATGTGAAAATGTCTTTCTATATTTTTAATAAATTGCCTGTTGAAAATTTGGAGGTTTCAGCTTGGACTGTACCAACTAGGAATTGCTGAGGGGCTCTTGGCAGGGCCCCTCCTGTTCTTGTTCTAACTTCACCCACCCCACTGTTCGCTCAATCTTCAGTACACCGACTCTGGCATAAATCAGTGTCTCCCATCCCGGACGGAGGAAGAAAGGCTCCCCTCGCCATGTCCTAAATGAGACTGTCCTTATTTAAGGAGCACACAAATATGTGAGTATAGGTTGTTTTCAGATTTAAAGCACTGAAACAAAATGGTTAACTTTGTATTCATATGCGACAAGGGATTTGCTCTGTAGTCAAGATGAGGCACCAACTTTTCCACATAGTTGGTTCCATATAATTTCTCACCATTTTAGCCAGTTTTTTTCCTCTAAAAATTTAGTCATAAAAGTTGACTAAACCAGCAAATGAGAAGACAAATCACATTGAAGAACATGATCTATTTAAACTTACTTTTTATTATCATTTTTTCCAGTTACCCAGCATGCCACAATCTGATTGCTGACCTGGATGAAACAGAGTGAGATAAATGATTTACAAAGAGATATTTACATTCATCTGATTTGTACTTAATATGCCACAACGCACCGCGACCTTCCAGGGTGACAGCACTGCGAGCTGCAGTGGGACTGGTCCTTAGTACCACGTCTGCTGTCCTGCACTACGGACGGGCTGGAGCCGAGGTCTGTGCTAGGTGAGGAGAGCTCCTGACGTGTGTTTTCAGAAATGGCTTGAAGTCGTTATGTTTTAAAATCTCCTTTGTATGCTAGGATATACATATGAATTTCAATAAATGAACTTTTTAAAGACTTGAATTGTAATGTTTTCTTTTTACACCTTGTAGTGATGAACAAAACACACCAAAAAGGCACATATTTTAACTAGGCCAAAGTGTATTAAGGACCAAACATTTCTCCTGCCATTCATTTCCCTTTTTGCGATCTATGTAGCATCCTTCATCTTTGTTTACCTTTAGTCAACATCCCCTAAGGCTCCATTATCATCAGTTATCCTAATTTGTACACAATCAGGAGACACCAGGAAGCACTATGCGTTATTCTTTTCATTGTTCACAACAAAAACAGACAAAAAAAGCATCTTTGGCTCGGTGGTGTCAGATTTTTTTTTCTTCAGTATGGAGTATTTGAGAGGAGCCTAAAAACGTACTTAGCGAAATTAGAAAATTTAAAGTTTATCAAATACCTGTACACAGATCATTTTAATCTAAAATAGTATTTCCACTATACACAGTTAAGCCCTCGAATGCTTTAAAGTAATAAAAATGGACACTGAACATTTTGTGTTGTATTTGTGGATGACAGTGAGACGCTAAAGGCAAGGCTGCAGGGGGGACGAGCCCCCGCCACAGGCTGTTCTCTCCGGCCAGCAATCTCCCACCTCCGCCGCCACCGCCCCCTCCACACAGATCTGATTTGACCATATTTTCAGGCTGGCCTCAGAATCGACACGGATTAGGCTTTCGAAGGTGGCGGGATGATCCGTACAGAGACCACTCGAGTCTCTCGAGCCTGTACAAGGTTCAAGCCTGACATAGAACTTCTATGCAGATTCAGAAGGTTTTGATCTCATCAAATGTGCTAGATACTAGAAAGGCTGTCACCTAAGATATTTCAATTGTCCTTAAATCTGTTTTAGGAATACTGTGAATAAATTAGACAATATCCTAAAAATAGCACCTTTAAAGAATTATAGAGGTCACTTTATTTTCGCCTCCTGGATCTGTCAACCCCAGTGGTTCTGAGAGAAGAGCACACAGAAAGAACGCCTTCAATTTGGCGGTGCGACATCCACACACGTGCATGACTAACGTTGGTCCCCAAAGCCATTCCTCTCTCTGGCTTAATCACAGGAGTAAAGCCAAGGTTCTACAATAGTAACTTCATGAGGTAAAAGCAGGAAAAGGCCCCATCCAAAATGATTCTACGTAGAGCAGACTGTAGCCCAGCCATCCTACCCACCTATCACGCATATCCAAGGTTGTTAATTCGCCATGAAGAAGTAGAAATACAATTTAAGAAAGGAAGTATGCAGAGTGATACGTTATCAGGAAGACGTTAACGATGAGCTACGCTCCTTTTTCTGGGTCCAACCATTTGTTGTGACCGATCTCCAAGGTCTAAGGCCTACTCCATCCCTGGCTTCACAGTAGATCTGTCCTAAACCCAGCGCTGAGCGGTCAGTATCTCCCCTTGGAAGTAGCCCTTCATCAGAATTGGTACAACCACGCTATTGCCATTTGACTTAAGTAAAAATAATCCCGTGTGTGTTTTGAGCTACAAGGAATTTACATATTTTCCTGTCACACTGTATACAGGGTGGGTTAATACCAGATGGGGCTATTAAAAGTCTTTTCAGAAAATAATATTTAATTTTCTGAGATTAGAGGCAGTCCAACAACAATAAACAGAGAAGTAGCAGATTGACATAGTGCTTTATTTAAGCTGTCTGTACGAAGGAAAATAATGTGCATCCCTATCATATACGTGTAAAAATACTAAGGATGGACAGTGTACAAAACAGTTTGTTATTTCACATCCTTGTGGGTCATATACTTAAGTAAATAAACAGTTTTAGTATGACCAACAGTAATAGTAATACAGTTTCTTGGGTTCATAGTTGCGTCTGCTCAAAATCCTTAACCAGATGACTAGATCTTGCGCGGATCTAATGAAAGAACTAGCAAGGTCAAGAAATGTCACAAACTATAAAGCTACAGGGAGGTAATTCAATTACCAATTTAGAGGTTTTCTTTTTATTTAAATAAATACTTTACATTTCATGCTTGCCTGTAATGCACTACCAGGAGCAAGATAAGGAGATTCTACTGTAGACAGTACAAACAGTAGCAGCAAAGTGTGTACATTGAGGTGTAATATATAGACCCTGCAGTTAGTAAGGGAGGCCCTTACTTTTGTACTCTAGGAGAAGCAAGTGGCCCCTGCAAGAACAGTCAGCTTTAAGAAGCCAGAAATCAGGTATGGGAAATGGAAAACAATACTGGAATAATGCTATGTAATTAGTGTAGAAAGCAAAGCTGTAAGCAACCCTGCCAACGATCCAAGCAGAAATGGCCGGTTTCCTCTAAGATGGCTGCATTATGGCAAGAGGTCAAACTTCATGACAGTCCTAGCTGGAGTCCACAAAGTCCAAACTGTATTCTCATAAAATGATTCCTGGTTTCAGGCCATTCCACCTGCCAGAATCCGAAACTATAGCTATGGGCAACACAAGGAAAGTTTTAGAAATCTTCCTCTACACATACTTCTGTTTTTCTGTCATTCCTCCATACCAGCTGACTGAGGTCTGGGATGAAAGTAAGGGAATTGCAAAACGAAGCAAAGAAAACACCTTGGGTGACACTAACGGAGTCCTGGAGGGAACAAGTGCCTGAGCCCCAGACATGGCTGGGAACTGAGAGACAGCTGTGAGGAGTGGCCAGCCTGGGGCTCCATCAGCGCCCTCATTAATCTTTAAGAAGTGTCCTTGGCCAAGGTCATGGAAATCACCTTAAGATTGGAGGGGGAAAAACCAAAAGAACAAAAGGCTATGTGCTTAGTGTATGGTGTTCACTTTCCTTCTAAAGGAATAAAGGTTCCCAACATCGGCCAGTCTCAGCTTTCTTCTACTCCTCTCATCTGTTTCCTTCTTCTACAATGGATGCAAGACAACTTAAAAGACATAACTTCTAGTCTACTTTCTTGTCAAAGTGAAACATTCAACAAAATTCCAAGTAGAGAAAAAAAAAAGTTGAGCTCTATGTGTAAGAATGAACTACCATTTACTGTAACTTCCTACTCAATACTAAGGATGAACTTCACTCAGGTAGAAATATGAAAAATTAGGATAAAATCTATGTCTGAGTATGTCTTAGCTGCCTTAGTAAAATGCCCTTTAACCCCTTCAGTCCCAGTGGCCACCCACCGCCAGCAGTGGTTTCATAGCTATAGACCCACACTTTCAGGTCAAGAGGCTAAGACATCTGCATACAAATAGGATTCATCCTACTTCAAAAGTCACTTGCTCTCTCACACAGTCCATCATAATACTACTACATCATGCTGTAGTCTTCCATTTGGGAGCTGTCAGATAGCTGAACTAAAATACATTTCCATAATCACTCCACAGGGTGGGAAGGCCTCCTGCTCACAGCAGCGAGAATGGCCCCCAGCCCCTTGGACTTCATAGGCTGCTTTGGAAAATGTCAGCTCCTAGCACCAAAGGGTTTAATCTGAAGATCATCATTAATGAAGGAGAAAGATGAGGTTTGCATACATGTCCCCTTTCAGTGAGAAACGTTGGAATTTGGGGACACTAGTATATACAGAAAAAGAAAAGCTGGAGGTGTTCTTTTGTTTTGTTTTGTTTTCCCTGATGGCTTAATTCAGTGATAAATGTACCATGATCAGAATAAACACACCAGGTTCTTACCCTTTACTGCCTACTTTGTAAATACTCGAGATGTGTTCATTTGCCAAGTAAAGTTCATTTCGTATCATCATTCAGGTCTTGATTTTCTTCATTACATCATGCTGCCAGGCCGTCATAACATTCCGATTCTCAAATGAGCAAACATCAACACCTATTTGTTTCATTAACCCCTTGGCATTGGTAGTTGGACATTTCTCATTTTCAGCACCAAGGGGTTAAATGATAGCATCTCTTCTCCCAAAGCCAAATTCAAACCAATATATACAATTTCAGAGCCTTATTAACTTTTCATTTACGTAGGAGAAAAAGTGCATGATTCTCATCGGCGTGTACATTCCTTGCACATGGGTCAAAAGAAACTGCAGTAAGTCTATTGTATGTAAGTTGGAGCTGCATTTGCTAATGTGACATACAATTCTCATCACTAAAAAATAAATACTACTGCAATATAAACAAAATCATAAAAGGACATTCAAAGTTTTAACATCTGAGAAAAAGCTAATTCACGTAGAACTGAAAGTAAAAAAATAAAACTACTAAGGCAAACACACCTGTTTACCTTGGTGTACAAATTTTGGTGAAAAGCAGGATCATTATACCTGTCTACATTCTTCAGCCATCAGAGGTGATAAATATCAAGAAGGGAAAAAAGGTTTCCAAGCACAGGGAAAAAAATGCTCGCTGGCACAAACTGTATCATAAGACCCTTTAAGTGACTTTGACTCTGTGCATATGCCTTTGTTTCTTGGTAGAACAATGTTCACTTGCCCATGTTTGCCCGTGAAGTCTGGACGTCCACGTGTGATACTGGGCTTCCTCTGCAGTATCCATCAGGAATTAAAAAATATATGTGTATATATATAATATCAACAGTTGATCAGTCCTTCTCTCAAATGTTTCCTACTGAATTCCAGCCAAATCCTAGTGATACACACCTATTTTATGCATTGATCTGATAGGCTTTACTAAAGCTTTGCATACGCACATCACCACCCTTCCATAATTGTTTGTTCTGAATTATAAACTAATTCTTCTTAGTCTAATTAGTTTTTGATTTATCTTCTAGAAAGTTAAAAAATGTACCTAGAATCAGTATATCTCATTTAGCCTTCACTGTTAGGGAAAAACAGAAACCGAAAGATCAAAAGATGACAGTTGGTGCACAAATGAACAACGTGGGCTCATGACTTCCAAAGATTATAAAATTACTTCTTAAAGTTGCTATAATAGTAAGACAGTAGCAGCAACAGCATGAGACCTTAGACTGAGATACAATATCATGCAAAAACAAAAATCGGAGTGTGTCTGCGTATATGTGAGTTTTCATGTGGGTGAGAGGTGGCACGGGGTGAAGACCCTTGGCTGGTCTGGGATGTCGGAAGGTGCCCTTGCTGTCTGTAAGAGCTAGGACTGGTGGTGATGTCCAGAAATCATTTTCAGGAATAAATCTAAGATGACAGTGAAGAAGCAGAATGAAAGAGACTTATTCTCGTCCACTTGCCGAGTAGGAAAATTGAGGGAAATGTGGCCGCCTCTCATTGTCCATGCAGTCCATACCATCCTCATCATCTGTGGGCAGGAAACAGCTATTTTAATTTTGATGGTTATTTTTTTACAACTTTATCTCTGGTCTATATATATTATATTTAACTCTTAATGTAAGAAAGATCAACAGAGGCAAGAGCCTCCATTAACTGGTATTTAGCAATAAAACATACCATAATCACATTTCAAAAATCATCTGATTTTCATAAAACACATGATTTATGAAGAAATATTGTAAAATCATCTCTAAAACATGAAAATGTCAACTCAATGAAACTGTGAAGAAATACTAATGCAGAAGGAACAATCTTCAATAGCTTTTCATTTCATGAAACTACATGTCAAAATTACAGAAGCCAATGAACTCTACAGCACCCCAAATCCATTCCTGAATGTTTTCAAGTGCCAGTAGTTTCCCCTTCATGTTCTTTTCACTGTGATTGCAAAATAAAGTTTCCTATGAAATTTTATTCACCATCTAACATCTGCCTTAACTTGCCATTCCCAATTTTCCTACAATAAAACTCTAAATTAGAATAAAAAGACTAAGAAAAAGGCAGGAAGGATGTCAGCATTTAAGTCCTAGTTCAACAGGAAACAAATGGGGAGAAGAGGCTCAAAAGGCATCAAAAGAGGCTGCTTCCAAGCACACAGCTCCTCTTCCACCTTTCCTGTGCTCCTGTATTAAACAGCACAAAGATCGCACAGCCTCCCCCATCACTGCTTTGTGATTGCACCACCGGGACGCTCTCACAGTGGCCCTATGTTCAGTGGCCCAGTCAACAGATGCTCTCTGTGTGTCTGCTCGGGGCCGAGCCCCACTCAGATCCTTGTGGACAAGCGCTGAACAGCCCCATGACCTCCTCATTAACACAGGGGGAGGTGAACCGTTTAAATCTCTCCTGCAGGACCCAGCTCATTTAAGGGTACGCTGCTTTGCGATGGAAATAGATGAGTCTTTCAAACACGAAACCTTTTTTCCTTTAGGCAGGATCATTCCATTCCCTCAAATCCATATAGGAAGTACACTATCTATTCTTTTCATTTCCCTGTCCCTCTAGAAGCAGCAATTTCACGTAATGGGAGATAATGGGAGAAGGAGCACGGGTCAGTCTTGTCCTGGGCACTGACCAGTGACTCCTCATGCCAGGAGACTCGCTGCCTTCACCTCAAGAGTAACAGATGATTCTGTTCTCTTCTTTTCAGTAGTTGATTCTTAATGCAGAAGAGCCTAAGGAACAGGATTGACTGTGGCAATAACTAAAATTTGTGACCACTAATTCAGTGGAAGATATCTTATTAGGTGGGAATCACGACATCAAGAATTGGGGGCTTCCTGCTTCCAGTGAGGGCCTCTCTCCCTCTGCAAACAGACCACTGCACCTGTGAAGAGCATTTGTAGATAGCACTGGGGTTCCTTTTCTCTCTATCTCCTTATAAAATAATGGCTCACCACCAAACGAATCACACCATGTTTTAGATCAAGTACTTTCAGCAATATTCGTAGCTATTCAAAGACGGAGGAGCTAGCATATGATGGCACATCCATGGTTGAGTCAAAGAACTCCTTTCTAGAGAAAAGGCAGCTGAAATCTTGGTGTTCGGATTCTGACACGTGCCAATCACATTTCAAAGAAACAGTTTTCCCCACTAACAGCTTTGTTTTGCCGAGTGTTTCTGACAGCAAACGTGCAGCAAGCCCCGGACAGCCTGTGAGGGAAGCCTGGTGCTGTGAGGGGCAGAGCTGCCTGGTTCCCCGCCACACCAGGCTGGCGAGGCAGGGTGCACAGGTTAGCTGGACTCTCAACTGGGCAGGTGCTGAGTTTCCTTTTGGAGGCCTAGTGATTGCTGGAAGTCAGCAGAGAATAAAAAGAGAGCCTTCACTCTGCCACTTCAATAATAAATTAATCTCATTTCTGAATATTAAAAAATAGAAATTTCAGTAATCCTGTGTGGGGTACACCCAGACGTGTTGTGCAGCCAGTGATACCATAACTTGGGCTCCTTCTTGTTCTTTTAGGCTTGGTAAGAGGGGTGAATACCGGATCGTGGCCCAGCAAGCAGTGGCTAGCCTGGGCACCCCAGCAGG